AGTAGTGTACATATAAGCTTTCTAGTAGTATGTATGAAAGCTTTCTAGTAGTGTATATGACAGCTTTATAGTAGTATGTATGAAAGTTTTCTAGTAGTGTATATGACAGCTTTCTAGTAGTATGTATGAAAGTTTTCTAGTAGTGTACATATAAGCTTTCTAGTAGTATGTATGAAAGCTTTCTAGTAGTGTGTATGAAAGCTTTCTAGTAGTATGTATGAAAGCTTTCTAGTAGTGGGTATGAAGGTTTTCTAGTAGTGTACATATAAGTTTTCTAGTATTGTGTATGAAAGTTTTCTAGTAGTATGTATGAAAGCTTTCTAGTAGTATGTATGAAAGCTTTCCAGTAGTATGCATGAAAACCTTCTAGTAGTATGTATGAAAGCTTTCTAGTGATATGTATGAAAACTTTCTAGTAGCGTGTATGAAAGCTTTCTAGTAGTGGGTATGAAAGTTTTCTAGTAGTGTACATATAAGCTTTCTAGTAGTGTGTATGAAAGTTTTCTACTAGTATGTATGAAAGCTTTCTAGTAGTATCTATGAAAACTTTCTAGTAGTGTATATGAAAGCTTTCTAGTAGTGAGTATGAAAGTTTTCTAGCAGTGTATATATATAAGCTTTCTAGTAGTGTATATGAAAGCTTTCTAGTAGTGTATATAAAAGCTTTCTAGTAGTGTATATAAAAGCTTTCTAGTAGTGTATATGAAAGCTTTCTAGTAGTGTGTATGAAAGCTTTCTAGTAGTGTATATGAAAGCTTTCTAGTAGTGTATATGAAACCTTTCTAGTAGTATATATGAAAGCTTTATAGTAGTATTTAGGAAAGCTTTCTAGACTCCCACATTCCTTATATGCCAGGACATTTAGACACAGACCACCTCAGGCAGTTGAACAAAAAAAAAATTATTCACATATACTCTGTGCAATACATGCAAAGGTACGCAACCTAATATATTTTGGTTTGTATAATGGAAAGCTTCAGTCGTTCACTACATTTGTGCTTCTTACACTGAAGGCTATAGTCCCAATTTGACCTGCCTCCTCCATGCATGTATGCCAAAGGCTGCCTGGATGTGGTATTGCAGTCCAGAATTCAAAGATAGAATATAAAAGCTTTAGTCATTAATACCAATTTTGTACAATGTTTATATTTATTAAAGGCAGTTTTACTAAAAGCAAAAATTATTAATTGCTGTTAAATTACATGGGCTATAAACCACTATAAAAGTAACTTTTCATCCTTTATAAAATATTTTCATAAGTTTTGTGATTATACGTCAACTTAAAATTTGTCTAATGGCACCTCTGTTGCTGCACAGGATGGTCTGTATCACTTTCTTGCTATGGTCTGTACCGCACTTGTGCTCATGCAAAAATGTTGATTTCCTTCAGGCAAAATACTAGAGTATTTGTATCCTACTGGGGGGAGCCAAAAGCGACCAAAACTGAAAAACTGAAATTTCTTTAGTACTGCATTTGACCTCCAAATGAATCCCCAGAAAACCTTTTCTGTTAAGAGGTAGGTGTTTGGTTTTCATTAGAAATTAACTAAAATATTAAGTTTTGCTTTCCAAAACATTATATCAATATAAACATTACAATTTACCTAGGTGTACTAAAGGTTTTTGTATTTCTCAAATAAAACATAAGCACATTATACCTGTTTTCTGAAGTGACGTGTTGGAAACCTTTAGGAGCTCACTCAGCTGTATCGGGCATTCTATGGTATAATAGTACCTAAAAAAATCTGTCCTTCCTTTGTCAAGGTCCCATTTGTGTTTTATTGAGGTAGCTCTGTCATTTTGAGAAATCCATGCCAAGCTATTCATGTCCAGTGTCACAAAGTCTTCTCCATCAAAGCCAAGCCGGAAGAATCTAGAAGACTGATTTTTATAGTAATCCACCTCACAGCCACCCAATGCCTGTAGGATGTGAACACCTGAAAGCAAAGGGCAGATAGACAAACAATATATCACCCATGTCCATATTTTATGAGATGAAATAATACATTTAAGAAATAACTTACATTGG